TGTGTTACCGTGTCGTATGTAACAAGTCTTTAAAGACTTCATCCAAACTGGTCTTGATAGTTTATTTACTTTTGAAGTCAGCTTTAGATATCATATACAGTGTATGGGTTAATATCCAGATATCTAGGAAATCCAATTAGCTATAAAATTCTAAATAATTAGTTTTGGTTGCACTATAATTGCAGATAAAGTTAAGGTACAATATCCATTTGACTATGGAATGCGTTGCAGCATCCTCTTTCTCGACATAGTCAAACAAAAACTTCAATTAGCGAAAGTTTGCAGTTTATGTTATGACGTCATTCAACTATCACTAAATGACAACCCATTAGTTGCTTAACCGGTACTTTAACATGTTTATTGTTAAAGTAAGTTGGTGCAACTCACCCTTGATGATCTATTTTGATTGATTTGGTCATGTATTATCAGGTTGTACAAATCGATCATTTTATTGAGAGATAAATTTTAAGATGAGTGTCTGGAGTATGATTTCTGTTATTTTTGCTGACCATACTACTACAACCATTATCAAAGTGAGGTGTATACTAGGCTAGGATGGGTACGATGCCGCCTAGCTCGTCGATATTGCACTAAACATAAATAGTGTATGTACCTACATATTATTGGATAGTGCTATTTTTATCTAGCATATATTTATGAAGATATACAAAAGAAAGTTGGCTTGAAAAGTAAATAAACCATTAGGACCCGTTCGGAAGTCTTTAAAGTCAGGTTACATACGATACAGCGATATATTTTTGAATTATTTTTTGCTTACATTTTTATGTTTTCTTGTTCCAGTCTTTATTATTACTATTTAAATAAATTCCTATTAGCGAAGAAACATAGGTATTTTCTCTTTATTGTTAATGATACATTTTTAAATCATAGATTATGTTACATGAAAGAATTTTTAATACCAGTCAAGTACTTTCGGAGGCTAATTAATGCAAATAAACAAACAATATTTTTTTTAGATATCAACCTATTTATTAACAGTAATGGCCGCCAGCGACTTCTTCCGCGTTTTCCATTATTTCTTCGCTCCTAATAGTTGCAGCTTGATGTTATATAGCCTAAAGCCTTCCTCGATAAATGGTCTATTCAACACAAAAACAATTTTTCGATTCGAACCAGTAGTTCTTGAGATTAGCGCGTTCAAACAAACAAACTCTTCGGCTTTATGATATTAGTATAGATTAAGGTTAGTTTGGTACACAAAATTGTTTAGTAATATTGTCTACAAAATATAGACCTTCTAATAAGTAATACGAGTATAATCTAAGAACCTGCAAATATAATAGAAATCGCGCACCAAGCACCAATGGTTGCTAACCTCTGTCCTAGATCGTTCCAAATGAAGGCAATTTCGTTCTGCATCAATATTTATCAAACCAGATGCGCCGACAGGCTCAGTCGCCGGAGATAAGATATTTACGCTTCCAGAATATTAATTTACGTTCAGATTCACCGAAATAAGTCTAGAATATGAGTAATAATAATCTTTCAATATTATATTTGATATGCTGTGATTAATTACTTTTAAAGGTATAAAAGTAATTCCAATATACTGTCTCTTAACAAGATTCCTTTCATTTTGGTTTTGAGGGAATAATATATTTTCTTATAATACCTATCTGGTGAATTGAGGACAGTCCTAACACCGTGAAACTGTTTGTTGGGCCATAGGCCCATCCATGTTTTGAGATACGAATCCTTGGTAACTACCTCAAAAACTACCTACACTGAAAAACTACCTCGGGCATAAAAATTCAACGCTATAAGAATCATAAAAATATGAAATGCATAATGGTAGGCATGCAATTTTTTTTATCAAGAACTACGATAAAATATCTTCCAACTTTAATTGTGGACTCGATGGCATGAGATCTTGCCTGTGGACGCAGTAAAGGTATAATCTCTTGGCATAGTTCTTGAAATAATTCACAACTGAGTCTGTGAATACTTACAAACTCAGTGTCGAGAATATTTCTTATATTAAGGCTATTTCGAAGCCGCTGCCGGTTTCTTCTACGGTCTAATCGTTCTTTACTGAGAGCTGACTCGATTAATAGTAATATAGACCCCATTTGGAAAAAAAAGTTCGTAACGAAAATGAAAAGGTAACATTTTTTACTTCGTCAATTTGAGGTAAGAATTCCGAACAATTAGATGTCAAACTCAAATGTTCGTTTCGTCATTTCGTGAATTAGAAAATAAATATGTCAAACATTTTCGTTCGTTGAATATTCGGAACGAACGTAATTGTAGTAGGAAACGTCCGAAATTTCGAACGATATTTCGTTTTTCGGTCTTTTTTTTATATAATGCTAGGCATTTACCAGCGACTTCGCCCGTGTACGATGTAGCATCTCGAGCCTACAGAAAATCTTTATCAAGCAAGAAAAGCTATGCTCTTTGGTGCGTTATTTAAGCAAGAGAAGTAAAATTAATATTATAAAGCCACGGAAATAACTTCGTCTATCTGTTACGCATTCACACTTGAGTGCTAAACAGTTTTGCATTGGTTGGCATTGGTCGCTGGGAAGAGCATTTACAGTTTTTATACCGGAATAAAACATTATAGAGCAGAGGTTTCCAAACTTATTTAGTCTACTTCCCACTTTGATAATTAATAATTTTTAGCGCCTTTATTTTACGACTACATAAAACTAATATAATATCAAATTTAATTAATTATTGTAAGCTATATTTTAGCTTATAGGAGACTTTTACTATAATCCGCAAAATTGACTTGAGATCTGAGAGCAGTAGGTAGTACACAAGTTTCAAATTTATTCTTCCTAAGCCTGTACCTAGCACCTAAGCCTGTATTTTTTCTGGGTTAGCGGCCCCATTGAGGCATGCAGCGCCCACAAGGGGGCGTTAACACCCATTTTGGGAAAGATTGTTATAGAGGGAGGGATTTGGTATTTTATCTAATATCATGCAAATGCAAAAATGCTAATACTATGCAAAGTGCAATATAAAGCCTTAATAAAGTAATTAAGGTAATTAGTTGGCCTAGTGAAGATTAAAATTTCCCACGTAGGAAATCCTCTCGCGGTTCACCGCAGGTAAGTTGCAAAGTACGTTCTAAATCTGGCATCTTTATATCTGCAATGGAGCCACGAGACAGGCTCCGGTCATTAAGATAAAACATCTGGGGCCTTACTATGAATTCACCGGCGAAGGGGATTGACTAAATTTACCTTCGTTTAAAACTGCAGTTGTTTTATTTTAATATGTGAAAAAAAAAATCATCAGTTAAGTCGCTAATGTTGAACGACTATTTTATGTTTGTCTGTCACTCAGGTAGAGTGTTAAAAAATATTAAACACGTTTTTCTTTTTTTTTCGTAATCATAAAATTACGGCGTTACTTGGAGTTGAAATTTCGCATGACGTCTTGTTATGGTACGTTTTCTACTCAACTGCCAACTTTAATGCCTGTTATCTAAGTTATTTCTTGTTAAATTGAAGTAAAAAAATACGTATCTAATATTTTTCTATTATCTGACTGACGGACTAAATAGAATTACATTTTTTTTTACCCAGTCGTCATCCCTATTGTCAACCAAAAAAGTACAAACATTTTCAACGTCTAATTAAGCATTAAAACAAATAAATGATCTGTGACTATTTTAACTGTTCATGAGACATAGCCTGGTGACAGACAGACGAACCGCGGAGTCTTAATAATAGTCCCATTTCACCCCTTGGGTACGGAACCCTGAAAACCACAAAGCTTCCTCTAAAATTCATTTTTCTCGTAATCATACTTTTAAGCCACAGAAGTAAAGACTTACTTACTCCTATCCTTATATCTTATTATGTTTCGAATAATTGATAAAATAATATAATATTTAACCGCAGTATACGATTCCCTGTCTCTATCTGTTTGACTAGCGCAATGAATGCGCCCCGTTTTCTTTTTACAATATGAGAAAGATATGATTGTTTTCCAGGCGCACACTTGGAGCTCATAGTAAGGTGTTTCTCTCTCATTTACAAAGCGTAACTGATTTTAAAGGTCGCTCTCGAGAGGGTGAATATAGACGTTTTATTTTAGACACACTTTGTTGGCTCAATGCTTCTGCGTTTTATTATAAGGAAGGTGGAAATAAGGACTAATTATAAATGACTTTTTGACTGTCAACAGATGGCGTTCGAGTTTTGATGTTTTGATAATGAAATATTTTGCGCTGTATAATATAAAACCTTAAAAATAAATAGAACCGACTTCAAACTCAAAAACTTGCACGGATGTTTATGTTTGTTATTAATTAAATGATAGGCGCCCGAATTAAATAGCATTTTCTTGAATAAGTTGCTTTTGAGATAAGTAATATATTATTTATTAATTTTTTAAAGTTTGAAGTCGGTTCTATTTTTTGGAAAAAGTTTTTATTTCATTATTTTTAGTGATATTGATATTTTTTATATAACAAGTTACACTAGAACTATATATTAAATAAAAATATTAAACATAGTGAAAGTCTCAGAAAAGTGAGTTTTTTTTATTTGCTCTATACGACTTATCCAATAATCTATACTCATAAAGAGAAAATTTAGTTTGCATGAAATAGTGTCCGAAAATACTGCACCTAATTTAAAAAATCTTTTATATTTGAGAAACGGGTTACACAGGTATTCTGTTATAAATTTGGCTTAGTCATCCTAGTGTATCGATATATTTATTTAAAAAAAACTCAAAGTTTATTAAATGTAAACTATATCCAAAATCGAAAAACTGAAATTTCTAATGAAATAACTTTATTAATTTAAAGTGTTATTGTTTAAAAATAAACACATTTCTTAGGGAAAAATTATAAGAAGATTTGTCCCAAAACGATTCCATCTCAGCATACGCTGGTCTTGCGATTATCGCTAATTTTTTAGCTTTAAAAAATTTTAAAGCCACATTTTTAATTTCATGGCTGTTATAATTTGTTTTATATTAAGCTATAAATGTATTTTTTGTTAAAATTCCTTTCAATATCAGTAATTACCTTCGTAAAGCCAATCCGGTACTCCGTTGTGTATGGTCCCAGGTACGCCCGTCTCCGTGACCCTGTAACCAGTGGACGACCTCGGTGCAGGCCTGTAGAATATGTCGTAGTCCTTCACAGTGATCAGTCCGTGACCTTTAGGTGTCCAAGCGGCCAGTAGCAGGGGAGGACCTTCTGTTATGACACCCCCTACTTCGTCAGGCAGCGGTGTGAGTGGATAGGATTCCCTGAAACAAATGGACAATAGTAATTTGACGAAGCTTGATGGATTTTTCACTCACTCTCATAATGCTGTTCTACGAATTCGCTCGCTTAAACTATAGCTTTTGTTATCTGCGTATGTTGTATGATCGAATAGATAAAATATCTGTCCTGTATCTTTAACAAACAAAACATCGTAATTAAGATAATAAAGCATATAAAGCGAATCATTATGGAATTTTCATTCACTCACACAATACTGGAAGAAATAAAAATAATTTTGCTTCCTTTATATCTGTGTAATGCTTTCCCGTGACTTCACTCTCTTAAATTATAGCCTTTGCCACCCGCCTACGATGTAGCTTCCCTTAGGTAAAAGAATTCTCATGATCGGATCGCTATTTCACAGATATATTATACAGATGTACCGGGATTTGGTATATTATCTTTCTTAGTTATTTTGTAATAGTCTTCTATTCTTACACAGTAAGTGTACTACGGCAGAGCTACTTCAGTTATATTATAACCCGCATAACCTATGTCACTCGTGCGTGGATCATGTAGTCTTCTGTTGGTGAGAGAATTTTTAAAATAGGTCCAGCAGTTTCGTGGCCTATGCGATGCAATCAATCAAACAAATAAGTATTTCCTCTTTAAAATAAACTTTTGTCATTACCAAATAAATATGAAATATAAATTATTATAGATCAAAGCAAATTTAGTACATGCAATGCTGTCTTACAATTTATATAAGCAACAGTTTTTCGCAATATTATCGTTATATGTTCTTGAGATGATTTATTTCAAGTTAGTTATATGAAAATAGTTTCAAGATGTAGAAAGGAAATAATATCTAACTTCATCGCTAACGGACCCTAATGATCGAACACTCCTGATACCATCTGGAAGAGAATTCCAAAGACGAACAGTATGCACAACAAAAAATACATATAGAAATTTGTAGTGACGAGGAGTTTAAAGAGTGAGGTTTGAAGAGACATACTTAATAAATAGTTTTATGTAGTTTTTTACTTATAAATTTCAAGAAAAGCCTATACGATTTTTAAAATTCAATATTTATAACGTACCCTGCAAGAGTTCGACTTTAATTTGTCCAGTTTTTAAACTTTGAAGTAGGTGAAGCTCGCAGCTCGCACGGCTAGAAAGTTTTTCATTTGAATAGTATTTTTCAGTAGCTCATTGTGGTGTTGTTGCGACTACGATTGTTTGTCGATAGTGTCGTAACAGATAGACATTATCGAGAATTATGAGATAACGTGAATCAGTCAAAATAAACGTATATTAATCCAAATGGAACGCACCGAAGGAGGCGAATGATACAAATTTTAGAAATCTTTGTACGAAACATGTACCTAGTCTAGCCATAAACTCTGTTACTGGCTGTTTATTAATTTGAATTTCGAACATTAGCTGCTACAATAAAAAAATAGACTTCTTTCTCGCCATTATTGTATGTTTTTTGTTTAGAAATTATTTGTTTTGAAAATGGAGAGGAGCACTAAAGAGAATAGGATTGCAGTAATTGCACTGTACAAAGTAGGTAAGGAGCCAGCCGATATTTTTGATATCCTGAAAAAGTTATGGATATGCTGAGCCGAATGTTTGTCTTTTGTCTATCGTATCATCCAAAGGTATACTGAAACCATATCTATTGATGACCGTGAGAGATCCGGCCGACCGCGGTCTATTCGAACAAACCAGGCCGTTAATGCAGTCAAGGCTAGAATCAGAAAATCCTTTCCAGAAAAATGAGAATCCCACCGAGGACACTTTCTTGGATTATCAAACAAGACTTAGGCCCCTAGGCCGAGACCTACCGGAGATACACAGGCCATACCTTAAATCAGGCATTAAAACAAAAGAGAGTCGAAAGATCAAATCAGCTGTTACTTCGACACGCGGAAGAAAAACACAGAAAAATTCTCTTTACCGATGAAAATTTATTTACAATCGAGGAGCACTACAACAAACAAAATATTCGAGTGCATGCACACAGCTCTAAAGACGCTTCCGAGGTAGTGGCCAAAGTTCAGCGGGGCCATCATACAGCATACGTCATGGTTTGGTGGGGTGTCTCCTACCAAGGGGTTACATAACTTAATTTTTGCGAAAAAGGAGTGAAAACTTCAGACAAAGTGTATCACGATACCGTGTTAGAAGCGGTAATTGAACCTAAAATATTTACAATAACTTGACATATGAAGTATGGATAAAAGTTATTTCTTGATCTTCCGCTTGTTATAGAGTATGTGACGTCATATTAAATTGAATATGGCGTTCTCAAGAGGCTTTATTAGCACATTTTAGAAATATACTTTCTAAAAAATATATTTCTAAAATGTGCTAATAAAGCCTCTTGAGAACGCCATATTCAATTTAATATGACGTCACATACTCTATACACTGATACACTTTGTCTGAAGTTTTCACTCCTTTTTTTACATTTACATTTTCATCACAAATTTATAACAAACTCTCTGGCTACCTCGCAAAGGATCTCGCGTGTATTTAGATATAATTTAGAAAACTAAAACTGAAACTAAAAAAGCAAAAAAAAAAACTAAGTCTGTTTTGGATGATTACGAAACCAGAAATTACTTTCTTATATTTTCACGCACACTACTCATTAAATAAAAATTACTTTTAAACCTTTCAATGATTCAATTACTTTGAAGGTAGTTATGCTTTTGATTATTCAAACACGATCAACATCTTAATCCAAGCGATTACGGAATCTCTACAGGACCAGAAACGTCTGAAAAAAAATTCAAATACACTCGATAAACCAGTTTAAAAGTAGACCAGTTTTATTAAAAGAAAATATTCTAATATCAAAAAGTTATGACAGTTATATTTTTCAATTATTGGTTTTCAACTGTCGATAGCAAAACATCACTAGGTTACTTCAGAAAACTCGTAACAGAATTGTTTTATTTTGTAAGTACTCACTACTACAAGAGATTCCCTCCTCGTACTAGAAGCACGAGTGCCAATACTAATGCACTGGGACACAGTTTAGTATTCAATTCACCCACGAGGCGGTACAAGAAAAAGAAAAGATATAAAGGAAACTGTAGAAATTTGTACAAAAGCTAGAATACTTTTCAGTGCACTCGCTCTCTAAGTGCAATAAGAGTCTTATTGCATAGCTTTTAGGTTTATAATGCAGCTAGCAAAACATGACTGGTTTTTACATTACTGCGCACCTGTGGTCAAATCTTAGGAAAGCTATTTTAATTGTTATTTATAAAACTTATTAATTGTTTTAGGTACTGGTATTTACTCCTTTCCAGATAGTATACTATTCTTTTTCTATTTTTTCAATTTAGCGTTCATCTATCAACCTCTGTAAGTCCACATGTAAGACTATTATTTTGCGGCAGATCTACATAAAAGAGCATAATCATAGAGCTCTATTTGATGTTTCAGAAACTTTTAGCTCAAATAAGAAGACCTTTCATAAATTTCCCCGCTAACCTCTAATCAACTGATTCTGTTCTACCTTCATTTTATTTATTTGTACACATTTAGATTTGTGTACCTTCTATCAGTTACATAGTATCGTTAGTACTGTTTTAATTAATTAAGGCAAAAGGATCTAGCTAATACAGCCTAATCTGAAATAATATCTTAATTTCATTAAAACATTGCTCTCGGTCGTTTATTCTCTGGAATTTTTGAAGCCATTTGAAATATACAGGAACTTCTCCAGTTTACAAGAGTAAGATGATAAACTTTAATAACGTTTTCTCTAGAAAATAAAATCTATTTCAATGGAAATTCAATAAGATTAATGGAATCCGTACTAGTCTTACCAACTCGTGTAACATTTCCTTTCTTCTTTTTCTTATAGTATATGAATTGTAGACTATGCAGCTATAATAAATGAAAAAGTGTTATTAATTCCTGACTTCACTGATGCTAATCGGAATATAAATGGCAGTAAGAAAAACCGGCATTATCCTCTATCGTTTCTTGCTGTTACCGTGGACTGAATTAGTTAATATCTAATGTCGTAATATGATAATTATTTAACGATATTCGTTGTTTGTCCAACATTTGATTATTCGAATAAACATTTGAAACAGCGTTGGTTTAAAAGCTGATGCGTAACAAAGTTTCTCGTCCGTCCGGCCTGCGTACGAGAGGGGTCGGACCTTAATCAGAAACGAACTTTAAATTAAATTCAACTAATTAACATACACTCCTGATAGGCGGACATGAACGTTATGAGGGTCGCAAAAAGCATACTTGAATTAAAGCACGTTTTAAATTAAAGTCATAAGGCAACATGTATGGTTCCGGAAATTAGGAATGACAAATTACATAATCATCATTATAATGTAACAATATCAAGGAAATATTTGTGTTGAAAGACAAGGATAGAGACAAGGTGAATGAAATATGAGAGCAAAGGAGATAGGTATACGTTTGTATGTCTGAAAACAATGTTGTCATTAAAGAGCCGCAGTGCGTAATCCAAACAAATTAGCCATGTTCCCCGCATCCGAGTATTTACGCATATTACAGCGTACTTGGGCAAAATGGCCTCGTGAAATCTGAGCGTCCTGTACGTAAACCATGGTACGATGTCGTTCGGTAAGACATTACGTAAAATTATAATGTTTTACGTATGTAATATAAAGTTATTATTCAGTATTAACTATTTGCCTTATGAAATTACACAGAAAAGCTTCTTTTTTTTTACCGAGATTTCTATTTCTCCCGTTAATAGTTATTTCTTCAACGGAACTTGTCATCAAGATGCCGAGATTAAACAACTTTCATAAAAGCTGGTGATCGTATCCAAAACTTTTACTGGCTCTGGGTAAGGCACTGTGCCATTTGTCGTCAATGGGTTATGGTCAGTTCTTCCTGTAGGTGTGAATTGTTTCATAGAAAAGGTTTATGCCTTAATATTTTGGACATCTAAAATGTTGAATTATCTAGCTCGTCCATCTAGCCGAGTTTGAAGTATATGATTCAATTCAAAAAAATCGCTGGTATTAATAAAAGATACAATCCTCGAGGAATTTTTTATTATAAACATTGGTTTTTGAGTATAAAATGGCTAAAAAATGGAAATTATTGTTGAAGTTATCGGTTATGGAAAAATATCATACTAACTGGAAATATTTTCGTTTCACATTTGTACAAACAGTATATCTTTATTTCAGTATTTACGTTTATTCAAGGGTCATTTGGTAATATGAGATCTTCAAATACAAAAGTCAGTACATTTACCACAATACCCACTGTAAGTATTACAGTATACGTATTCAATTCTACGGACAAAATTAGACTCTATTATATAGACCAAAAGTTCCAACTCGTGTCAAACCAACCACTAAACTGACATTTTGGTCATTTCACGTGGGAATTGTGGAAATAACTAAAGTACATCATTCTCCAAGATCCATTTGAACATAGCAATGGCAGGATTATGCGTTGTCCTCGCGAATGGAACCACAAATAAAGTCGCCTTAGTAAGAGGGTTATAGCATTTACAAAACGTACATAGTCACATTTGTGCGCTACTGGAATATTATTTTTAATAACAAGTTTATTTCCAATCGCAACACGTAATTGTACGTCACATTAGTAGCAATAAGAAACAAGATGATAAAGAAACAGAAATGTAGGGTATAAGCTCCTTGCAATAAAATCATCAAATGCAGATGAAACATTATAATTTGCAAATGCACCGAGTGATATATAAATCAAATATTTAGTCTAGCAATTCGGCTCAGGTACGCAAGGATAAGGAGTGTAAACTAGTTCCAATAGCTGTATTCGAGTGTTTGTGCATGTGCAAAATTTCGATTAGATTAGTTTTGGCATTTCAGCGAACACTCGACGTTTGAACCTGGTTATTCGATTTCTACTACTATGAATAGTGTAAGATTTGCTGAGAATGCCAAGTATCGAATAATACTTGGCCAATATCTCATTATTTCTAATAATGAAGAGTAACGATTAAATGATTTTATATTTTCTGCAATTCTACTACAATTTCAGACTGAATGTCCATTAAATCTAAACAGAGTTATACATAACCTCTTGGTGTGTTTCTATTTTAACAGACAAAGAGAAAACGTCGTCCGCGACAGTGCCCCACTTATTACCAACTTTCTGTATCAATATTACTATTTCTGTTTACGAGAAGAAATGTACTAAATTTTTAATTTTGTGAGTAGCTTTGTAATTTATTTCTATCGTTCTTTTCTAAAAAGACTTGAATTGTATATGCAAAATTAACTGAAAAAACAGGATTATTAGTTTAGATGTCTTCTTAAATTTTTAATCAGGGGCTTCATTGTGTAGTTTTACTCTATCACAATGACTTTCAATTCGATCATTGAAAGATATTCAAGAACCACAACTGTTTGACATGTGATAAAGATTACGATCTTTTTTTGAAAGAACTGAATGAACGATATCGTCAATTTGACGTTAAATGGTATCTAAGGCAAACATTAGACGAAATTACTTGGAAAGCTATTGGAAAATATCAATCGAAAGAGCTGAATGCTATCTGCAAATATCATTCATACCGAAAGTAATTGCGACTTAAAAGTTACATATTTCCATAAATCAATGTCACAATCGCTATATCAAAATATAATCTAGAATAAGACAATAGGGATGCAGTAATGGCCTTTTTTAAATGGAGACTCAATTAAATCCTCAAGTCGTTAAAAGCTGTTAGCATGTTATTTTGATCGTATACCGCAATACGAATTGACAAAGACTGTAGTGTTTCAAGGCGGCCTACAATGAAAATGATACACAATAGTCACACAACATTAATTAAATGTTCTGTCACTATTCATTCCATATAGAAGTAATCGAATAGGGAGAATGCACGCACCACGATTGTAGATAAAACTGGACCAATGGCTTAACGTATACTGCACCGCGCACGGTATAGGATGAGTGACCAAATAAATATTTAGTCACTCATCCTATGATAGTCCCTTACAGTAGTTGCTTAACTTCCGCATTGTTAAATGAACTAGCTGCTGCGTCATCGAGCTCATCAAATATAAAAAAATCTTGTTATTAATACCACCGCTAATGGAACACAGTGGAAAAGAAAGATATTATTTTAAATATCTTTCTTAGATCACTAGAAATAATTCCGAATTTAAATATAATAATGACAGATCATGATAATGTAACATCAATCTTAGAAACATTAGTATTCAACTTTGGATTATCCGATGTTTATATATCTTTTTTTGTATTTTCGTATTAAATAGGTATCTATTTAAATGAACAAAGAAAAAATAGAATTACAACATCAATAACAATGATTTATTACTTAACGGCGAATCAAACGGCAACAATTTCATCGGCCGAAATAAGCCGGACCGTTTTTTTTTTATTCCACAGTCCCGGAAAAAATACAATTCCCAAAGGAACTGACGTACCAAAAACACGGTTCAAATGATCCATAAAAGACGTTATCAAATTTTGTAGCGGTACAGTATTTTAGGTATTTTATGTGGGAAAAACGTTTTCTTCATATTTCCCACTAAGTTTGTACAAAATACTTTTATTACACTCATAAAGTTAAGAAAACTTTTGAATTGCCGAAAGTATTTTTGGAAGTTATAATCTTTAAGACTACAAATATTTTAAAACTATAGCGAAAGGAGGCGAAATTTCTTTAAAAATATGTAACTGCAATTTATCAACAAAAAATGATTGAGCCTATATGTTGTTAAGCAATCCTATATCATTCTTAAAAAAGAAAGTAATCGCATATTTATAGAATTGGATATTTATTTACCTTAGTTGAAACCGTTATTCAAGTATTTAGGTAAATAAAAGGGTAATAATGTACCACAACGCACGCATTAAAATGCATGACATACACTGTCGGTTAGATTAGTAAAATAATACCATTTCTTTTAAACACAATAGTTAATATATCTCCGCTATCGTTAATCAACGTCTGATGATGACAAAGCAGCAGGCGAACAACAGATACATCCGGATTTATCGCTCAAAAGTTTTCGCTCAGAAGTTTCGAGTACTTTGACCTACTTAACAATTTTCACAAATGGTAACTTCAGATGCAGATAACTACAGTGATGAAATAGAATAGGCGATAGGAAGGAGGAAACATATAGGTACACACGCATTTCTATTTTTTATTAACTATTTCTTTTATTTTTGCTGTATGGTCAGTGAACGTCTTGTGTTCTTTCAAACACAGCTGCACTCACGAATTCATGTGCTCTAGACTTCATGCACACACTAACTCCACTCATGCATAAACAGAAATAGAAAGGGTGGGAGGGAAGGGGACATGTTCACACACAAATAAAAAAAACACACACACACACACACAGAGGCAGAGACAAAGAGAGTAGTGAAAAAGCGTAACATGTAAGTCTAGTGAATACTCACGTGGTGAGTATATCGTAGACAGTGTATTTCGCGAGGTAGGAATGCCGGTGTATCTTGCTGATACTCTGAGCCAGCAGCAGGAACCGTCGGTCAGCGGATACTGAGTACGATGCCGGCTCCAGCACCCTCTGGAACAAAGATAACCGCATTTATAAAGCCAACGCGATTGGCATCACCATTGCAGTATAGAAACCTTGTACAAAAAGTACTTTTTTCTAAGCTTAGTTTTTCCAGCAAATAGATGATTAAAAAGAATAACAAAAATATGTTTTCTATTTTCACTTTATTTATAATAGTTCAATAGCTTTTCACGTACACATGTACAAGTTAACTTGAATAAAGCTACATTGGGTAGTTGAAAATAAAAAAACCGACCACGTTTATCACTTCGCCATGGAGTTATTCGACTAGTGAAAATGACCGCCTGAATGAACTTTATCGACTGTGAATCAAATGGTTTACCTAAATTTCCCTAATAATACACTGAAATAAGCTGAAATACCCGAATGGATATGAATATCGGTCATTAGCTTGTGAAACATTGACCGAGTAACCAATTCAATGTTGACGTATCTGAATAAATCCTTTTGAATGTAATCTCAGATAAATGGTGTAATACAGATTGATGTGAGCTTTGGACATTTCGGTTATGGGTTATCAAATCGGGGAGCAATTTCTCTTTTCAAATCTTCTTCAAAAAACGATTCTCAATTGGACCGGTTTTTGTTTACTTTTATGTTATACTTGCAACATATTCGACAATTGTGGATTAATTTTGACGGATCTATTTTTTCTCATAAAATATATATTCCCATTTATATTGGTAGTGAGATAGTTCATACCTTGTTTATTACTCTGTAAAATTGTAAAAGTAACATTTTTTTAAGAAAATTCCATAATGACTCAATAGTCCTAGGCACTAGCTATGGGATTCAAACACGCAGCCCTTCGCGTTGTAATAAAATATTTTTTACCATTTAATCATGGTAACCCTGAATTATGTTGTTTTTCGATATGAATACGAAAACAAGCGTTGTTTGTATACCGTTTGTAAAAAGAGGAATTGTACAATCTACCTGCCACATAGAATACTAGTTCAATAAATTGATCTCTAAATATTTCAAACTAAAAGTCGCGTGTCTAAGCACTCGCAGACGTCACGCAATCTTCGAATTACTGAATCGAATTATAATAACCGAAATTCGATAATTGGAAATGAGAAAGCAAAACCTATAAAGGCTCTTGGAATGCTTAGACGTTTTTGTGCGTTAATTTATTCGATCAAAGTTAATGATCGTCTTCGCGAAACAAAATCGGTTAGCGATTGCTCAAAAAGGAAATTGCTTTGACGTTTTTCATTACAGATTTTTCCAAGTAATTTTCATTGAGGAGTTTCCATTAATTTTTGTCTAAGAGCCTAGAAACTAGTGCCGGCAGTAACAGTTCTTTGAAACTTTATTTTGTTAATGTTACTTAGATTGACAACCCGATCTTTTTATGAGACGAATTAAATTTCAGGCTGCTGAAAGTGATAAGTAAAAAAATTTTGAAGATTCTAAAGTGTTTTTCAAAGCTTTTTAGAGTAAATATAAAATATTTTTCAAGAACCCTAAAAGATTTTGTTTTCTGGACATTCTAAAAATATATTTAGTTTTCGCTTCACTGTTCAACAGCGATTTTTCAGCAAAGTTTTCTTAGCGAATAAACTTAATTGCTAAGAATTATTTTATTTCTTATCTTTTAATTAATCTGAAATAAAAAAGGTCCTTTTTTTTGGAAATCCCGGATACTTCCTGGATGATTCCTGAACGAATCCCGGGAAAACCTATATCGATGGAAATCTTTACCTAAATAAACCTTACGAAGATGAACAAAAAGACTATTGAAAGAGAGGTGTGTCCCTCTCTACGGTGACGTACAATAGTGCGGTGGTACGTGTTATTGTCTGTTGTAATTTATAATGTTTCTATGCACCAAATCAGTATTTTACAATAACTTATAATGTAGTGATAGTAGTGGTTCAATAAACGATTTATCTATTTATATCTTTCGTTTGTCTTTTTGTTCGTGTTCGTCGGTGAATCAGACAAACATTTCTTCTTCTTTTTAATTTATGGCTATGTGTGCTGTCACGTTATTTAATGTTGGAAAACAAATTAACATAATAAATAGAAACACAATAGTCAATTTAATCAATTTAAAATTTAATGTGTTGTTAACCAAATTCAAATCACATTGCAGTTTGTAATTTGTTCTAACTTGATCTGCTGTTACATCTCTACTATTGCTATTGGGAAAAAAAAAAAACTAAAAACAAATTGCTTTCAATCGAACTGGAATCAATCAATCAAATGGTATTCCCTGTAGATTACACGTTCCCTAGATACTTACCTGAAACAATTGCACAAAGAATTAAGGACGTCTCAAATGAACGAAAAAGTACTTTTGTCAACTTTTCTTTAAAATAAAATAACATCCTCTGTTATTTATTTGCCGTACAAATATGGCCAACTTATGAATGAACACATTCTAGTGGGTCAAAATTGAAACAATGAACCGCGTTCACACGTTTTTAGGGTTCCGTATCCAAAGGGTAAAACGGAAAGACTGTTATTAAAACTTCGCTGTCTTTCGGTGTGTCTATCACCAGGCTGTATATCATGAACCATAAAAGGCTGTTGAGATTTTCACAGATGATATATTTCTGTTGCCGCTTCAAAAATAAATACTTAAAAATATGATAAAATAAATATTTAAGGGGGTCCCATATAACAAGTAATTTTTTTGCTGTCACCTCTCTTTCCAGTCCTGAAGGACAGATTAGAGAGTGGCTAGGGTACGGAGGCTAGCGGCCGGAGACTCGAGGCTCCGCTTCCAGATCCTCTTCAGGACCTTCTCCGCCTGTCTCCTCACCTCTGCTATTCTCGCCGCAGTGCGAGCCTTGTAAACCTTTGATAGGACCCGGGTTTCCAGTTCCCACTGAGGTATACCCGCTAGGGCGTAAGCTGCGTCACCCGATATGGTGCGGCAGGCGCAGACTGCCCTTGAGGCTCTGCGATCATCGCATTAATGCCCTATTTGCAGCGTTAAGGGAATAAACAGGAGTTTTCTGAGACCCATAGCCGTCTTCTCCAATTTTGGAATCAACTGCTTGAAGTGGTGGTAAAAATTTCATTGACCATCGGGTAGAAGGCTCAAGTATTTAAGATGCGGCTTCAGGCTATATCTACCCTTTCCATCCTTAACTTTGCCCCAGCTGGTGGACCCCTGCGTCTTACGTGAAACAAAATAGCCTCAGTCTTGTAATATACATACAATACAAAATAGCCTCACAGCCACCTGGAGACCAAGTCTCCGTAAACGACAGAAAACTAGTTCCGTGGCTACCTCCGCATGGTCATAGTTCTAACCTAATTTAACTCATCGTATATGCATAGGTTAACGCTTGTACATTTGTGACGGTTTTTGTCTGGACATAAATTTTTCTTCATGTGTTGTAATATGTTGCAAAACAATTATACCAAAGTATTTTAAGAATAAAAACTACGCAAAAGAAGGGATTTCTTTAAAAAAAGAGATAGTTTAAAGAATTTAATAATTTTTACAAAAATATAAATATACTGATATTGAATTTCTCGTATACCACAAGTTATAAATCCCAAGATTAAACCTGATCAATGGTCGGAGAATTTCCTCGTGTGATTTCCCGACAGTTACGACATTCCAGACGGTTTCCAGGCACATAATCGACAACCTATAGAATTTACTGGCATTCTATGCGGCGGCCATACTTGAACTGGTGTTAAGGAGATGCTTTCCTGTATGGCTTAATTAAGAATGGGCATTATTTTGATGAATTTTGCATTCACACTGGAAAATATTCTTAATGAAAGACGCATAAAAAATCCACTTTGTTTTTGTTTCGGCAGTTTAGATAAATTGCCTGAACATTGATGAAAATACGCTCTGTAACAACGAAAAAGTAACAAGTGCCTAAAGAATTCGTCGGTCCTGTTAGGTCCTGGGTAGCTCAGTGGTTAGAGCAATCGCCCGGATTGCGAAAACTCGTGGGTTCGAATCCCATCTACAAAGACAAAGCGGATTTTTAAGCATTTTCGTTAAGAATTTTTTATATATTCTCGTATATATATAAAGACTTTTAACAAGTTAAATTCTAGAAAATATAAACATCATAACACTTTTGAACAGACTGAAAAATCTTAATGGGCCGAGTTGGTCCTATTTAAATTTTATCAAAGTCGATTCATTAGTTTTCCTTTTATAATAAACCAAAATACGCAATTTGTCCGATTTAACTCGAATATTTAGATGATATGTTTATTTCAGCTAAAGATTGCGTATTTTTCAATCATTCAATATTCGAAAGAAGGATTTATAAGTTCAACGAGTATATATCTCAGTATAAGTAAATGTATTGTATGTTATGTATATTTTTATGAAAGTAGGTATATTATGTATGAAGGTTTAATTGTGAACCAATTCTATCAAACTAGCTGCTTCCCCGCGATTTCGCCTGCGTAAATTATAGCCTATGTCCTCCGCTTATTATAAGCTACATGAAAGACTTTCAATCAAATCTTTCCTCTTTTTGAGTATAAATTATTGGAAAATATTATATCGATAAAATAAACAATCTTTTGTTTAACACTTTCATTGTGTTGAAATTTTTTATTTAAATATTAAATACCTATCGTATTTCATATTGTTAATGTTACCTATTATATAAAAATATTAATATCCTTAAAAAGCAAGAAATAAAATATTAATTCTAAAAATAGAAACGGTTTCAAACTTAAAATAAAAGTGATAAACAATACTTATCTCAAAAGAGACTTATTCAAGAAAAAATAATTTAATTAAAACCTACAGAAAACCTCCGCCTGCTCCGCGCATATGGAAAAGTATTATTTTTCAATTTTTTAAAGTTTGAAGTCGGTTCTATATTTAGAAAAAAGTTTTAAAGATCTTAAAATAATATTTTCGTACTACCTATATTAATAAGAATTTACTATCTATACAAATTACCGTCCAGTACGTCCAGTACAAAAGCTTTTGGTTGTTAGATAAGGATTAAGATCAAGAGCGAGCCCATTTAAAAAAAAGCCGGGTTCCGTACTATTATTTGTAAAAAACGTTTTTTTATATATTTTTTTTTAAATATTTAATTTATTCAGCCTTTTAGTATTTGTTGTTATAGCGGCAAGAGGAATATATCATTTGTGATAATTTCAATTGTCTACCTATCATGATAAATGAGCTTAAATAGCATGTAGCCTGGTGAAATTAATTGGTCTTAACTCTTTTTACGGAACACTAAAAAGGAGTATTCTGTTTGCTTTTTCGGGAGACGGAACACTAGTTGTTAAACAACTTCAAAACTTTTAATTAATTGATTACTAAATGTAGGTTCTAGAAGATGAATGTTAAGGGCAACTTAATTTCTTCCGTCTTCCACTTGTTACATTCTTTTGAATTTATGGTTTTAGTTTGTTCGCAGCAATCGGTGATCTTTTTTTTAAGTATTGGTAGAAATATAATATTATACGAGTGAAATGAAGTGTAAATATATGAAGAATTTAACACAAAACGCGAATTGTTTACGTTTTTCCTTTATATTTCTGCATTGAAGGAAACGTTCAAAGTTTTTATGTTATAATGGGAGCAGAAGAAAAAATGTCACAAGATAATTGTATGGCACCGATCCCTTCCTATAATTAAACAAACAACAAAAAACAACACGGTATACGAAAGAGGAAAAATAACATGTCACCACAATAAATATGCGGTTGTTTGCAGTACATTTTGTATCAACACGCCGTCTCCCGAATTAATACACCTAATTTATAAAGATAATGTT